ATACCAACACAACTCTAAAACATATCAGAGTTACTCTAATAGTAACTATGACAACTCTAAGGTCACAAATCTCCCTCTTAAACTTATCAATATAACTCTAAAACTTGTCAGAGTTGCTCAAAATCAAATCTAAGACATATTAAACTACTTATTACAGTCTCATAACTCTAAACAAATCAAGACAACTCAATAACAACTCTAAATCCATCAAACAACCTCAAAATCGCGCTTCCTACTAGTCACGCATCATATTCGAATAATTATTTAAAATTTCAAACGGAGTCGAAATCAAGCAACTGCATATGTTCTGGAAATTTTAGAGAGTCAATTTTAAGAATATTGTTTTTATTTCATGACTTAATACACCAATTGATTCAGTTTAACTAAACAATAAGAACAAGTACTCATATCGGGCAGAATGTTTTACCTAAGTTCAAAATGACGCCATAAATTATATAATTATGAGAAAATTATGAAAATTTCTAGTTGAAAATATCATTAACTCCTCTTTCCAACACAACTGACCTCATCCCAAATGGACTCACGAGACTCCTGTTACGCTTGAAACAAGCTCTTTAACGTATCATCGAAATCGCCAATGATTATGATATAAAAGCTAGAGAATAACTACTCTTGTAGAACTCCTAGACCCGATTTCTTCATTTAGATATAAATATTATCGCGTTAGTTTTCTAACTCAGCTGAAGGGGGCCTCAAACGAACTTACAGGGTTCAAGATATGCACGAAACAAGTCGATCAATACTCTCATGCGGTTTCCTGCAATTTCCTTACAGGAATTTCACTTCTAAGCTCATTTTGTTCAACTTAAACTTATCCCAATCACACCCTAACACTCAAAATATCTTATTTTGAGTTTCTAACACAATAAACCAAATTATTAACATAACCTCATCACATACTTATCAATTAATATCAAGTTTAACCATTTAACAATTATTATTGATGATTTCTATACTTTCACAATCTCCTAAAACCTTCAAACATCAACAATGGTGGAAAATACATGAACACATCAAAACATAATTATTCGCATATTAACACATGAAATTAAACACGCATAGCAACACAAATTCACGTAGAATCATCAAATTCAATATCATCAACAATTATTTCTATTATAGGTTAAAGACTCCACTACCATACCCTTCATGCATAAGCCCTTATTATTAAAAGTTATTCCCACCCTTACCTTTGATTTCCACCAAAAACTTCTCAACCATGGTGGTTTCCTTCTTCTTTCTCAAAGCCTTAGCCTTTTCTCTCTCTAGACTCTTTTTCTCAAACTTTATTTTCACGTAATGACCAAAACCCTCCAATTCTCTCAACTCCTCTTTTTATAATAACAAAAATACCTAATTTGATTTTTCTCTATTCTATCCTCACTTATTCCCCAAATCTATAATTTTCCCCTTTCCTTTAATTTCTATTTTATTTTAATTATTAAATCTAATAATCAAATATTCTACCAAATACCCCTATTTTCTCATTTTAATTAAATATATCAAATTATCTACTCTTATTTAATTATTAAAATAATTCTAAATAATTCCAAGTTATTCTAACCAACTTCTACTCCCTCTCTCAACATCCCCATCTCAAAGTCACATTTCCCGTCATCGAAATTAATTCGGTCATTAAACATAATAATTAAATTAAAATAAAAAAATATAAAAAATAATCAAATACTATAATAATTCAAAAATGGGTGTTACAGAGCTCACCCAAATAGAATAGGGTGTCCTCTCTGTTTCCAATCGAAATTCTACTCCTGATGGGACATATGTTGGACACGATGTTGGAACAGTTAGTCCAGCAAGTTAAACCATATTTAGCAAACATATGAATAGCAATACAGAGTCAAAGTAAAAGCAATAAATAACTCCTAATATTGGTAACTCAGTTTGGTGCAAACAACACCTACATCTGAAGGACACTCTATCCAAGAAAGGAAATTCACTACTTCGAATTAGTACACTTAGTCTTCTATGAACAACAACCTCATGTTGTTCAATGCCTCTTCCTAATCCTAGTGACTTTCTATTTAGGTATTCCCCCTAAATATGAGAACCCTTATCACTTTCTCTTAATCACTAATCCCAAGTGATCAACTTTAATAACAATCTTGTTGAATATTGAATATCATAACTCAATTAAAACAAACCAATAATTATGCCAAGTTATTGAAACATAGAGTAGTGTACACAAAAATTCTACCCTAACCCTTATGATGACATTAGCAAGTTGCAAATACTTAAAACCTAGCACAAAGATTCCAAACCTTGCACATAAAATTCGTGTCTCAAACGTGAGACTGAGCCTCCTTGATGGTAAATTGGTCCGTACTCATATGTATTCTAATGTGAAGCTTTTACATAATTAGGGGGAGTTGTATGCTAACCCATGCAGATACAAAAAGTTAGTTGGAGAACTAAATTATATCACAATGGTAAGCCCATATATTTCATTTGTTATTAGTGTTGTGAGTCAACTTTTATAAATTCACTTTTTGATAACCCTTGGAATCTTATAGTTTGAATCTTGAGGTATGTTAACAGGTCGCATGGAAAAATATTTGTTTGTTTAAATAGAGGTCATACTAATATTGTTGGATATTTAGATGCACATTAGACAAGTAATATAAAAGACATAAGCTATACTTCAGGTTATTGTGTTTGGATTGAAGTAATCTTAATTTTGTGGAAAAATAAAAAATAAACAAATTGATGTTGTAAGGTCAAGTACAAATGTATTATGGAACACACTACTTGTAAACTCATATAGTTGAAACACTTGTTACAATAGTTGATGTTTGGTGAATTCTAGGTCCAGTGGAACTTGTGTGTGATAATCAATCGACATTGTTCTTTTATCAAATTTGGTTTTTCATAAAAGGACCAAACACATTAAAGTTGCTTGTTATTTTATCAGATAAAATATTTTTTCTAGCATCATCAAAACCTCTTGAGTAAGCTAAAATGACATGGTAGTTGATGTTTTTCATAAAATCTCTATAAAGACCTGACATTATATATATATATATATATATATATATATATATATATATATATATATATATATATATATATATATATATATATATATATATATATAAAACAAGTTGTATGTATATGATATACATTCTCTAATTTAAGGGCAACAGTTGAATATTCTTTATTTAATGACATTGATATAGTTTTCTTGTTTTTATTATATTCATTTCTTGAGAGATTTTCTCTTTTATATAAATTGATGCAACCTCATTATGAAATGTTAGTTAATAATTTTATGTTATTCAATAACATTAAGAGTCACACATAAGATAATATATGACTTAAACATATGTTTGTTTATAAGTGAGAGAAATCTTCACATGTCAAGACGGTTTTTTAGGATTGAGTTAAAATCAAACAAAATTCTTAAGATGGTATGAGAATCTATTTCAAAACTTATAGGGTTATCTGCTATTATTTTTCTGCTATCAAGTCACTCAATATTAGTATCTACGCACTAAGTACAATAATACTGGATGTGAGAGTATGTGTTAAGAGTCTCACATCAGACTATATATGACCTCAACATATATTCATAAGTGTCGTTGCATCTAATTGACATAATTTTAAAAGGAAGCATGTGAATCAAGATGTCATGACATTATGTGATACATTTTGCCTCTATGAGCTCACACCAAGAGGCAATATGTGGAGCAAGATGTTCCACAGATTGTGAGACATTCTGTCTCGACCAGAAGCCAGTATATGCTAAGTAAATCTCGCGCATGTTGAAGATTTGTTTCCACTCTTGTTCAATCGCTTTTATTGATTTATGCGCTTTTTGGAGTATGGAATGTTTTTCCCAAAATATATTTCTCCAAGAATTAAAAAGTACACACCTGCTTTTTCAAATCAAATATTGCAAATCATCTTAATGAAGAATCATTCATTGCGCTTATGGATTTACTTCAGCCGCACGAAAAGAATCAAACCCTAATGGGCCTTGCAGCTGGATTATGTTGCTACTTAAAGAAGAATTCTCCAAGTAATGACTCAGACTTTGAAAAATAAGCAAGACGTGTTTAGTTGTGTTGAGTCTTTTGTTTTTTTATTAAGTTGTGTATTGTTAAAACTCTATTTGCTAGTCATATACCTATATTGAGCAATATAATTTGTTTGTGTTGTAAGTTGTTCTATCATTTAGAAAATATTGTAATTATCCAAACACTTGATAGAGTGCTTGAGAGAAAGTGGGAGGGGTTTCATATTCAGTGGAAGTTCTGAATTAGAATTCATGGGTAGTACTAGGAAAAAAACTTTGAACTAGAAGAGTTCAACTAAGACCAATTTATACTTTTCTTATTAAAAGTGAATTTCCTTTCTTGGGTTAATGCCTTCCAGATGTACGTGACATTGCATCAATCTAGGTTAACAATTCCTTGTGTTCTTTTACTTCTAATAGTAATTTATCTATTTCTGCATTGATATTGTCATACATATTGTTACGACATTGTGTCTGACATCTTTTTGATTGAAGAATATAATTTCAATAAGTATAAGTAATTCTTACCTTACAAATCAGTTTTGTAAAATTGAATTAGACTGAACCATAATTCTTAAGATCTTCCTTTTTCTGCCTTTCATTTTTTTTATTTGTATCTTCTTGTTAAGTTATATTTCAAAATTTTAATAGTTATAAGATACTCACATTAAATCACAACTTGTTCTATAAACCTATTAACTAATAGTCACAAAAGATCTAATTTAAATCTTAGATTAAAGATCATATCTATTTATATTTATTAAATTTAATTCATCAAATTATCTTACGACACTTCAATTTTTTTTTCCATGTGGCATCTCTCATAATCCATCTACAATTTTTAAAATTTAAAAGATACTATTATTATTCTTTATAGAAGGTCGTGTGTTTCACAAACAAAAAAATACATAATCTAATTTTATTTTATTAACTTTTATCGTTTCAAAAATGTTTCACCTTCCAACTCCTTCCAAATTCAATAATCATTTCTCCCTCATTACTATGCAACTGTTGCCTCTCTCTTCCTCTTCTTTCTTCTATCTTCGCCTCGCTTCATCTTCTTATTTCTTCTTATATTCAATTTCTTCCTTTCAATATTTCAATTCTTCAATTTTTCAATTGTTGTTGTTTTGAGAGAGACTCAACCGGTAATTACCATTTTCTGCTTACTTTCCCTTTCACTCCCACCGTACCCTCTGCGAACATGACTTCCATCACCTTCGTCGAGCTCAACTATCTCGTGTTTCACTACCTTCAAAAATCAGGTTACTTTCTTTTCCTTCTTCTTCTTCTCCTTTTTTATTTTATTTTCGTTTTTCCCGTTCGGTGATGAAATATGAAAATTATTTCATTCTTTATCATGTTAATGAACAAGGGATACTTCTTGCCTACCGCAGTGCTTTACTTTTGACTTGATTTTCTGTTCTTCCACATTAGTTCAAAGAGAATAATTGGAGATTCCAGGATCATGATAGATTTTTAGCATATTAGTGTCTTGCTTCTGTTCAAGTCAAGATGGGCAGTGGTAGATGTAAACTCTTCATATCATTTGAGATGTCGAATTGGTCTACCGGTCTACCTTTATGAAGTTGACAAGACATAGTGTGATGCTCCTTCGCAAAGTGATACTGATAGGAGTAGTCAGCAGCATGGGCTGGAGAGACATAGTGTGAATGGCTATAGAATTGAAGATAGTATGAGTTCATTGCCTCATATTAAGTTTGGTGCTTCATCGAAGAAAGCCGGTAGCATAAAGATTAAGTCTTCAAAGGTTTTGGGATTAAATTCTGAATAGACAAGCAAGCCTTTGCCAGTTTCCTCAGAGACTGCTGCCTACCTAAGAGAAAGGAAAGCTCTGCAGGTTAATCCCAGATATCATAAGCAAGAATTGGATACCTCCTTAATGGTGTGTTGGAACTTTAGTATTGGTTTACTTTAGTTTTTTTTCAGTTTGAGCATTAAATTCTCTATTATTAATGGAATTCGTATCGAGTAGTTTTCTTCTGGGTGTGTTTGTTGTTTTATTGTACAGATTATAAGGAAGGTAATGAAAATGGATGTTGCTGAACCATTAAATGTTCCTGTCAATTCCGAAGCTCTGGTGCTGATAAAGATGAAGAAGATTCAGAGGGAAGAACGGCTTTGCATGTTACTTGTGGTTACGGTGAGGCATGCTAATGTATAATGAAATATTTCTTCATCTTTATGTGTCTAATAGTTCTTCTACATTTCCCTGAGTCTGAAGTTTGGTCTGCTTCAACTAAAGTCGTGGCTGTAGCGATGCAGCCGTTATGGTGAATTCATCTAAAGAAGAAGAAGAAGAGGGGGTTCCATTAATCAGACAAAGATGGGATGGCACAAACTTCTCATTAAAAGACTTCTCAATTTAAAGTAATAATTCCCTATTCACAATACAAGATTTCATGTTCTATCAAAATTGGGTCATTTTTCTACGTTGAAATAATTTCTTAATACATATATTATTTTTTGAACTTAGATTGATGAATGTCATTATATAAGCCACACTAGCACCTCCTGCAATTGGAAAGATGATAAAAGGACTTAATATGTGTTATGTTGTAATTTATTACACTTTGTTTGGATTGGGTAATAAAGAAGAAATTAATAAAACAAAAACAGATACGAAATGGATTTTTTTTTTTGTTTTGAATTGCATTTGGAGGTTTGGATTGAGAAACTGAAAAAACAATCATACATATATCTTTGTATTCATGTGGTATTACATGGGGAGGTAATGCAATCCATGTAGTGAGACTAAAAAGGATTGAAGATATATAAATTCAAAATTCTTGTCCTGATTGTTCGAAGAAAAGTTCAAGATAACACTTGCAATGGTCAAGAAGTACGTACAGCACAAATATAAGTTGGTCGCCGACGAAAAGTTCAAGAGCACTTGCAATAGTCAAGAAGTATATGTTGGGAGGAAATCCACGCAATGAAATATTCGGATATATATATCTTTTTGAATCGGTATACTATTCAGATTGATTATATAAGCTAAGCTTCTTGTTAATGTTCAGATAATAGAAGTAACAGGAAAATAGCCAAGATCCATTAAAGAAGAAAGTCCAAGAGGAAGTTCTGTTATGAAATAGTAAGGAGAAAAAGGATGAATCTTGCATTGATGGATCTTGGCTATTTTCCTGTTACTTCTGTTATCTGAACATTAACATGGTATCAGAGCGAGATTGTGTGTAGCCAAGTGAGAGAAGGAAGGATGATAGTTTTGCATACCATTGCCTACTGGCCTGTTTAAAGCCATATAGAGACTTCTACAGTTTACATACCTTAGAAGCATCATAACTAGATAAATCAGGAGGAAGAGTCATATACACTTCTTCATGTAAATCTCCATGTAGGAAAGCGTTGTTTACATCTAACTGTTCTAAAAACCATCATTTGATAGCAACTAAAGACAAAAGGACTCTGACTGTAGTAATTTTGGCTACAGGGGAAAAGGTGTCAAAGTAGTCAATACCCTCCATTTGTGTGTACCCCTTTGCTACCAGCCTAGCTTTAAATCTCTCAATAGAACCATCTGCTTTATGCTTGACTTTGTATACCCATCTACAGCCAATGGGTGTCTTACCATGAGGTAGATCAACCACCTTCCAAGTATGATTTTGCTCAAGAGCCAACAACTCTGCATCCATAGCTTTCTTCCAACAGTCATGTTTATTGGCTTGGTTAAAGGTTTTGGGTTCAATATGAGAAGAAATGGAAAGGCAGTAGTGTTTATAAGAGGGTGAGCAGTGGTCATAAGATAGCACAAAGGATAAGGGATAAACAATATTAGGGTTTTTGGACTGGGAATTAGGGGGCAGGAGTGTAGAGTTATAACAGTGGTAATCAGCTAGATAACTAGGAGGATGAGAAACTCTACTAGATTGTCTAAGAGTATGTGGTTCTGAATTATTATCAATGGGAGGATTGTGCTCAAGGACAGGTGAGGAAACAGATGATTGTCCAGTAGGTAAAGTGTTGATTGAAGGAGTTAAAGAAGTACTGACAGGTGTATTAACAATATGTGGAGCAGAATTATGCATATCAGAAAAAGGACTAGAGCTGGACAGTTGAGTAATGTCATTCATGACAGGCTGTAAACTGGTATTTGGACTGTTATGAGGAGGGGCATTAATGCCAGACTGACATGGTGTACTAACAGCAGGTTGCTGTCTATCATGAGTAGTAGGAGAAAGGATATGATTCTGGTCAAAGTCAGGTGGGAATAGACATGGTAGTAGATGGCTTTGGTTCACAAGTCTCAGAGGTGTTTAAGGGAAAACAAGTTTCATAAAAGACCACATGCCTAGAGACAAATAGATTATGATTTTGCATATCATATAGAATATAACCCTTAGTACCTTCCTTAAATCCAAGAAAAATGGCTTTTCTAGCTCTAGGAGCAAACTTATGCTTGTGGTTCTGCAATGTGGTGGCATAGCTCAAACAACCAAAGACTTTTAAATGAATGAGAATGGGAGGAGTTTGATGTAACAACTCATAAGGACTCTTGAATTTTAGTAAAGGAGTAGGCAATCTATTTATGAGGTGTATGGCATGTTGGATACAGAAATTTCACATATTCAGAGGGACTGAGGAATGGAAGAAAAGAGTTCTAGCCACATTCAATATATGTTGGTGTTTCCTCTCTACTACCCCGTTTTGCTGGGGTGTTTCAACACGGGACTTTTGATGGATGATACCTTTAGATAAGAAGAAATCATTAAGGGCAATAAACTCACTCCCATTGTCAGATCTAAGGCATCTTAAAGATGTTTTGAATTGAGTCTCAACATGTGCTATAAACTGTATTAAACTTGGTTTAGTTAGATCCTTGGATTTGAGAAATATGGTCCATGTATATCTAGAATAATCATCTACCAAAGTCAAAAAATACCTATGGCCCAAAATAGAGGTGGTAGCAAATGGCCCCCACAAATCAGCATGAACAATTTCAAAGGGAAAAGATGAAACAGTAATACTGTGAGAAAAAGGTAATTTCTTTTGTTTACCAACGTGACAAGAATCACACGGAATGTTATTATGTACATAAGAGATAAAGGGAAAAACTTTGGAAATATGCTTCAAACCATCATTAGAAATGTGGCCTAGTCTTAGGTGCCAAAGATTACAAGAAGATGTCAATTTGGCATGGAGAGCTTGTGACTGAGGAGTAGCATCAAGCACATAAAGTCCTCTTTGCAGATTAGCTATACCAATCACTGCCTTGGAACGGTTCTGCAGAATTTCACAAGAGTTAGCAGTGAAGTTAACATGACAATCATTGCTATTAACAAGTCTAGCAATTGAAAGTAAGTTAACATGGAAGGTTGGGATGTAGAGCATATTGTGAAGAGTAAGGGTGGGAGATAAAACTATGCTACCAGACATGGAAGCAACTACTTGAGATCCATCAGGTAAACTAACATGGACAGGTACTATGGCTTTATGTGAACTAAAGGAAGACAAATCATGTGAAATATGATCTGTGGCACCAGTGTCAAATATCCATAGATTAGGATTCTTACCATGTTCATTAGAGGCATGAGAATTTAGGACAAAGGGTGAGAAAGAGATAGAATTGGCTTGAGGTATAGGTGCAGACTGTTGAATCAGGGCCATAATGTTGTTGTATTATTCTTGTGTAAAAGCATAACTTGGTTGGGATTCATCAGAACCTGCATGAATAGATGCACCAATAGGTTGAGTTGAAGTATTTGAAGTTTGAGGCTTACCTTTCCCTTTGAATCCAGGTGGATAACCATGTTTGAGGAAGCAAGTCTCAACTATATGATTAGTTCTCCCACAATGAGTGCATACACGACTATGTCCTCTAGCTCCACCCTGTGGCTTGCCTCGGAAAGGTTGACCCGTCTTGCCATTAGAGTGTCCTGAATAAGAGTTGGAGGTTTGAAAAGCAGTCACTTCTTCATTTGTTGAAGCATTAGGAACAATCATGGAAGACACTGCATAGTTCATCTCTCTTTCTTGCTGAATCACCAGTGAAAAGGCCTTGTCAATGGTAGGAAGGGGCTGCATCGTCATGATCTGTGATTTTGAGTGAGCAAACTTCTCATTTAATCCCTTAAGAAAGCGGATAACATAATCTTGATCTCTATACTTTCGAATCGAATCAATAGCACCACAAGAACACAGAATGGCACATGAACAAGCTGGTACAGGTCTATAGTTTTCCAATTTATCCCATATGACCTTCAATTGAGT